GATACATTGGAGGCTTCCAGCAGCTTCTCACAGAAGCCACCCCTGTAGCCCACCCACTATCAAAACCTTGCCACGCAAACTCAATGCAATAATAAAAGAGGTTCATAACTGCCTCAGAAAATTATGGCCACATTCACAGGACACTGCTCCTGGGCTGATGCCCACAGAAGGATAAATCCACACTCTGAGTAACAAGGGAAGTCCTGAATGAGGTCATCAAACTTTGTCCGTAAGTCAGTGATTAACCACACAGAGTTAGGGAGAAATAATTCCTCAAAGCATAATTTTTAAATAAATATTACAGTCAGGTGTTTTCTTCGAAACTTCGCTTTTTGTGCAAGGAGCTGGCTTGATACAGCCCATTTGGAAGATCGCACCTTCCATGTGAGAGAGAATAGCTTTGCTATCCTTTATTTGTCATTAAAACAGGCAAAAATAAAAACGGTTCTGTGGTGATTACCGAAACACGAAGTCTGCACTGTCAATCTCCCGGCCACATCTGCTGTTCTTCAGAATTCCTCCGTTCCCAACCACCGCGCATTTCTTAAACTGGGAGCGGTGGTATGGCATATCCTGCAACATCACAGCAAGGGGACAGTTATTCTCATGAAACATGAAGGCAACAAGTCTCTTCTTTTACTTCTTCCTTTTATTGCTGCAGCTGCATCTTGCTGCAGATGAACTAATCATAGGAAGTTGACACTGGTTCTGGCCCACAATATTCCCAAGGTGTATATAAATGGGTGGGATTGTTTCCTGTGCAATTAGAGATGCTATGGACAACTAACTCAGATTGAAAAAAGCAATAACCTGTTTCTGTCCGGACTTAATAATGGAAAAAGTCATTTTAGAAACCTGTTTTCCCTTCTGACTTCCACATGAGGGCATGAACCATAAAATCAGCATACGCCAGTCATTGCCTACTGAGCTGCCTGCAAAATGCTCACACCTCAGGCTCTGGTGTCCTGCCTCTGAGAAGTCTCCACACGTAGTCCCAGAGCAGCTAGTAAAGCCCAGACAGTCACTCTAAATCAGACAGCACATCACAGCTAATTATCAGAACCTAGCTCAAATTTTAGTGCTTGCTGTACTAATAGCATTAATGATTATTGATTAGCACTTGTACTACCAGCATTGCCTAGAGCCTTTGGTCAGGCACCGTTCTGGACTCGTGTAGGACACATCTTTCTGCAGTCTTTGGGCAAAATTCTGTCTTCATACGCAGACGTGCAGCTGCTGCCGAAGCAGGAGAGAGTGAAAATCACATCTCCAAGAACAGAACTGGGCCGTTAGGGTGAGAGGGTTGTGACGCAGAACGGAGCCACACTACACCTTATGAATATGTAGAGAAGTGCTTACATAAGCAGGAGAGCGCTGGTTTTGGTACATACATATTTTATCAATAGTTTCATACCGCAAACTACAGGGAGATGCAATTGTGGCACGACATTTCTAGGTGATTATTCCTAGGATCTTTCCATAGCATTCGTAAGCCATGAGGCAAAAGGGCATGCAATTACACCTGTTTGAGAAAAGCAGCAGCTGTCTAGTAGAGAGGCTGTCTTTGCTTTATCCAGTGATTTCTTAACGCAAAATGACTTGACAGTCCCTTTCAGGGAGACCAGGAGCCAGGTCTCTGCACTCAGTACAAGGCTCTTGCCCTTACAGTCTTGCTCCCATGCTTTCAGCCCTTTATCTCTGACATTTGCCACGCTGCAGCCCTGCTCCCAGTCCGGGGGTTGCTTTGGCCACAGAGCTGCTGCCAAATGAATCCCAAAGGCACTCTGGCACCAGACAGAGCCTGCACAGCATGCTCAAGGCATACCTGGATAAATACACCAGCAGCTGTAGGACGCTCCTAGCAAAAGCAAGGGCATCTAGTCTTTTATGCATTCATTTGCAGAGTCAGGCAGGGTTTTGACAATTATACTCCTGGACTTAGATGAACCCATTCTTCGCACGTCTGCAGACTCTGAAGTGCTTTCCTGCATCTGAGCCTTCCCCCCGCTCTGCCCCAATTACTCATGTGCACATTTAGATAACAGCACTACCCCACCTCCTAAGTAGTGCTCTGACACCAAACTGCTTAAAAGTGGTTAGACCCTGGAGGACAACATTAATGGCACAAATCTAAGTACTTAACCTGAATGTTTTTCTGATGTTCTGAAAAGGATAAATTTCAGCTATCCCCTCCAAATACGCCATTTCAAATTCATGAGGTGTGCCCCACGATCGATCAGTAGTCACATAAGCCCCTTTCTGTACATCAGTCACTGAGCAATTAGAATTGTCCACTGGTTGTAACTTTGACTGACCCTCAGATCAAAAATTATTTGCTGAAAAGATTTTGAATAATCATTATGATTAATATATTTTAAAACCATGCAGCCTGTTCACAGATAAGCTGCAAACAGAAATAAGTATAAAAATAGTTACTCATTGTGAATATGAATTATAAAAGAATCATGCCTCTAAAAAAGCAGGCCTACTCCAAATGTTGGATTTATTGTATGTCAGTATTGTACTTTTTAAAAGTTCTGATCAGTAAGCACCTCTTTTATTCAGCTTTTTTAAGTTATTTGTTAACCCCTTTGCTGCTACGTCAATAATATTCTGCAGGGGGAAAAAAAAAAAAATCTTGCATACTAGAGCAGATGACCACTAGAGAACAGGATAATCAGCTAAAAATATAAAAAATAAACATTTTGAAAATATAATCAATGAACTTCGTAGTAATGTCAAACAGCCAGTAAACAGTAAATGCTTGGCTATAGGATAGCATCTAACACAGCAAGTGGAGTGAAGTTGATTCTGCAAATGGACAGAGGTATGAGGCACCTTTGGAAACATTTTGAAGATTTCTTGGTTGATGTGGAAGATTCCGCTAGTATCCACTTCATATTTCAGCTTAGTTCCCAAAGGAGTATTTTTCTGGGTGGTGAACAGAAAGGCAGGAGCATTGCAACACCTTGACAAAGTAGACCTGTAAAATGAAAAAGAGAGAAATAAGATAAAGGAGCTTGTATCATACTTTAGGATTTGCACTATCACTCCTAACCAGGAATTTTTCAGCAAAAATAAACTTTTTAGCTATAGAAGGAGTAAAATTGTGGTTTGCTGGATCTTCCTTTAGAAAATTCCAGGTTCAATGAACGTTTCCTTGACTGAGCTACAAAAAAAACTTGTAAAGGTCTTAGTTTTGCCTTTGATCTTGCAGATGTGCATCAGGAAGATGATGTGTCCCCGACAGATGGGTGCCATCCAAACTCTCAGACAAATGTCCAAAATTTTGTCGCTGAGTTAAAATGGCAGGTGTTCCAGTGCAAACAAGAACAGTTTTGAAATCTCAAAAATGGGTTTCTTGGCATGAGTGAAAACTCATGCAACTCTGATATGAAATTGCAGCTTTCCAAATAGGGGCCCACCCTAACTTCCATCTTTCCCTGAATGCTTTTCTCCCACTACTGGTGGAACTGTAAGCCCTGACTTCAGCTGACTGTTACTCCAGAGCCAGTTTGTTTCTCAGTCAATGCATCTTACACCTCCAGTGAAAAATACAAGTCATGGCAAATGCACAGACATGAAGACAAAGCCAAATAGCTCTCAAATAACCTAGATTAAATGCCTTGCCTCTTGGGTATGTGGTCTCATTATGAGTTGGAAGAATAAGCCAGTCTTCTTTATGGGCTTTATTACAAGCACCAGAAAGCAAATAGAGAATTATGCAAACATTTCAGTGATGTCCAATTACTATTATATACTTGACTCATGCAGAATGACACAATATGATGATCAGCTCAAGGTAGCAATTGAGACTGAATAAGTCAACGAATAATTTCTAATAATGAAAACATTACAAGCAAGTAGTGGGATTGAACTGTGATATTTGAGATATGAATAAAACTGTTCATTAGTTCTGCTCTAAGGAATTGAAAGAGCTGTTGTTCTTTAATCTAATGTCCAACTGTTTTTCCGGGGATGCATTCCTTAATGTAAATGTCTGATACATGATGGAGGAAGACTGTGAAGGAAATTGTTTTCCTTAGTCTCGAGATCAAAAAACTAGTGTGATTTTTGTGCTTCTTCCCTCCCTGCCACTTAAGTAGCTGCCATTTAACCTTTGCTGGGCTCTCCCCATCTCACCTGATGGTCCAGAGCTGGCAAAGTTTGACAGCCCACAACTCAGTGTTGTCAGACCACCACCTTCTAGCCTCCTACTAGTCTACCTCCAAACCCAGACTTTGATCTGCTTTTAAGGGACTACAGTTTCCACACACACCCTCACACAGAAATCTCTGTCCCACAAGACAAAAATGAAACAGACTTTGAACTTGCTTTGTTTTTTCATGACTAGCATCAGTATTGTTCCTGGAACCAGCTAACAGAGGTTAGGTTACACCGAGGTGCCAGTGGGAGTTTCTCAAGCAGTGATAGTCAGGCAGGTACAGCCAGCGACAGGACTCTCTCATCATTTCTTTTTCTCAATACACTGCTGAGGATGGAGGGGGGTTCTTTGCTTAATGTGTTGCTGTTGGGGGTCTGAGAGAGAGTGGTGGTCTTACTGATGGTCTTTAAATAGTCCTTTCTCACAGCTCCCACCTCTGGGCTGGCCGTCATACGTCAATATGCTCCATGCACTCTTGCTCCAAGCAGTCTTTAAGATTGTAGGCTCTAATCTTGAGCTGCTCTTGACTTCAAAATGGGCTCTGATAATTGTCCATTAAGTCATTTCCAGAAAAAAAAAAAAAACAACCAACTAAAAACATTTATGTGTGAAGCTCATGTTGGAAAAACTGCTATGAGCCTGGGCCTAACAATGTTATTTTTAAATATGTTAATGACTAACTCAGCACATGTATTCTCATATTCTCTCATTAACTCATGATAGCTATTTCCTGGAATCAGGCAAGAGAATTTGAGAGAAAGCTGGGGAACAACAGCTCTGAATCATGCCAGTGACTTACAGACTTAACTAATCTGTATTCCTCTTACTTTGAAACACTGTGGTTTCTCTAGGCCTACTCAAATATGGCCCTTGAATATACCAATATGCAACATTCACATATTGTTTTGGCTTCATTCTACTGTTGCCTTCACAAGACAATTTCAAAAGTTGTATCTTAAAAGGACCATGGAGGATGTTCAGCAAAGAGGAAGTCACATGAAGAGAGACTACCATCAAAACAAACTGCAGAGGTCTTGGACAACCAGAAAAAAATATCTAGATAGTCAGGGAGTAATAGCTGAGAAGCCATTAAAACAAAAGGAAGTGATAAACAAGGTCTGACAGTACCTAACACACCAGAGAAAAACATCAGTTCCAGTATTTTGTAGGCCAAAATTGCAGTGTCACCAATGATATTACCATTTCACACTGAGAGTTAGGTTGATGTAGTAGGTGCAGCCATTAAGTCTTGGCTACACCCTCACTTCTGCCTGAATGATACCTGGAAAAGTCTTTATCAAATTTCCTGCTTTTTCTGGAAAGACTGAACCACATGCCAGAAAAGCTCTCTTTCACTCTTGCTGCTGACTTTTTTTAAAGTAGGAAAAAGTCCCTATTTACTCAAAAGGATGGTACTCTAACAATAACTATGTTACAATGCTTACTCTTGCTATCCATATGAAGGTTTGATCTCTCCACTGGAAGCTAAACTCAAAATTTACCCAAAAAAGTATATCTTACTCAGTCTCATTAATGTGGACCATTCTTACTTGAATAAATTAGCTTCTGTGACATTCATCTCCCACTTGCACATCTGTAGGCTCTTCCATCTGTCAAACAATTCAGTTTGTTTCACCCTAAAAGATAAAAAGGAAGAAAATAAAAAATCGCTTTACTACAAGGGCTTCATTCCCTACAACAGCTTTAGCCAGGGTGCCATGCAGTAGGCATTTCATAGGGCCAACCAGTCAGTCTATCCAATGCGAAATTTGTCACTTTTATTTCTTTTTCTGCTCAGATATAGCAATTCTAAGCCATGTATATATAGGTACTTACGGAGCTCTTCAGATGTTTGGGATTGATTTCTATTCCCTAACAGGCATTCTCCATTTTTTCAGGATAAAAAAGGCAGTATCGAGCAAGAAGCATCTACTGTACCAAAGTCTGCCCACAGTCTGCTGAGAAGCTAATGAGTGTCTGGCAACTACAGCGGCTTTTGGGGAAAAAGTTGCACCTAGCAGAACAACTCAGCAGACGGCGTAATGGGAAAAAAGGATACTTGAGATAATTTGGCCAACTACCATGCTATTTGTGTGAGGTTATCTTAAAGAACAGCACTGTTAGTAAATCCATTTTATAAACTGCAACAACTCAAGTGTAGGGATAAGCATCTGTGACAGTAAGAGGACATGAAAAGCTCTTTACATAAGGATGTCTCCCCCTCTCTCTGTTAATAAATATGCTTTCAGTTATATAAAAAAATGACACCCCTACTTCTACAAGGTTGATACAGGATGACACACTTTTGGTGATACCATTCCAACCACTTCTACCTTAAGAGTTTGTACACATTCTTCTGTGTTTGGACAAAGGAGGTAACAAACGCCTTGCAAATACCTAGACCTAGGGAGCAATGCCATAATCTGGCTTGGAAATTTTGAAGTCTGAGATTCCTTCATGACTGATAGGTGTTAATGAGTGCTCTTCAGGCTTGAGGGCTTTGAATGTTTGAATAAAACAAAGACTTTTAAGATAATTAGATATTTAAAGTGAGTAGACCCCAGGCTGTGGAAGTTACAGGAAGGAATTAGGTCATATTGTACTTTCTGTAGCCCACTAGAGCACACTGACTTGGAAATCTTCCATTACTGTAAGGGCTGACTTAGGAAATGTAGTGCATTAGAAGCAAGCACATCAGAAAACCCCAGCATAGTAAAAGAGCTTAATGTCACATGGCGTCTATCAAAAAAGCAAGGATAAGTCCATCCAGCTGAGCAGGAGTCCACTACCTCCTATGTGCCACTGGATAAGGTGAAGAGAAATGAGTAATTCTCTGTACCATCTGATAAGTATGCAGAAAAGAATTCAAAACTCCCCATCTTCAGCAGAACATTGGCAAAGTGTCACATTCTCACCCCTTCTTTTTATTTTTAAGCACTGCAAGTCAGCAAGCAGTGCGAAGTCGTTACTCGTGTATTCTTCATCCAGTACCACATACAGAAGACAAGGACGTAACCTACATTTTCAGTCAACAAGGGAGACATGCTCAAAATTCATGCAGACCTGGAGCAACAAATTGTATTTGCTGGAGCCTCGGCTGCTTAATGCTATGCACTTGTATGTCTGTGCTTCCGACTGAGATCCTCAGTGCACTTCACAGACTTTAATAAACCTCGTCGATTGTCAGTAAGATTACTAAACCACTGGTTTCAGATACGGTAAGCGATTGGGCATAATCTAAGCACCTAAATTCAGTGCAATGCTGAAAATGCAAAATGAAAACACAAAAATACCCTGTTTTGCATTGTCCAATGAGCTCTATTGGCAACCTCACTTTTTTGCCTGATTCCATCTCATGGATACATCTCATGCAAATCACCAGTTTTCTGATGTACAAGAAAAAAAATATAGATATTTTATTATTTCTCAGAATTGCATTGTCCTACTTTTTAGGGAGTGTTACTAACTTGTGAAACTCACTGCTGCAGGAAATCGTGCAAGTCAAAAGTACAAATGGGCTCGAAAAGATCTACACAAATCAACAGAGAGGTCTGTTGTCGACCCTAACTGCTGTAATCTAGTCACCACCTACCACTCAGAAGTCCCCATGTCAGTATTTGTTATCAGGAAGGGCTAAGCTTTTTGCTTCATTTCTTAGCCTTCACTGCTGGCCACTATCAATGACAGAGCCTTAGGCAAGACGGACACTTGCTATGAGTCTGTCTGTCTGTTCTTACTCTTCAGTTACCCTCAGCAGAGGACCTGGAATGTAATATTACGAATAATATTACACTGTATTTCAATTTAAACAGTGATACTGGCCCGACCAAAATGCTTCAATGTATGTGACATGCCTCCAGTTTTGCAAAGGTAACTCAGATCAAATTCAAATGTGACTACTTGCACATATAAAAGAACCTCAGGAATCCCTGATGAGATCCCGATTGATGAGATCTCTGAAGCCTTGTATCTTTCACAATCTTACTGTAAGTTATCATTTTTATCCTGCCTGAAAAGCAATGTTTTACCAAACATTCATTCATACTTACATAGACAAAACCTTCACCTCAATGATGTCCTGCCGTAATTCCAGACATTTGGTAGAGTTGTATTCCAAAGGCCCTTCATAAAACTCAAAATACCTGAAGGACAAGAAAAAATATTATTAAAAAAAAAAAAAAGCTTTAGACAGGAATACTCGTCTTACACAAAACCAGAAATTTGCTTAAAGTTGCCATTTCTGATTTCCACATAACTTGAGACTACACTGTCTGGCCCATAGGCAGGTTGTTACTTCACAGAAAAACACAGATGTCGTTGCTGATTGTAGAACAGCCACCCATGTCCAGATTATCCACCTCAACACAAGTTCATCCATCTTGTAGGCACCAACAAGGACGTGCTACCTTTTCCAGCAGTCAGCACATGGCAGCTGCCAAGGGAAGTCAGGAGAAAAGCACTGATCACCTCAGAAACACAGTTCCCATCCTTGTGATGTCTGAATGTGCTGACAGTTTAAAAATCTCTTCTTAAAATTTTACTCTTAGGTGGAAAGCTGGAAGTTGCATCCTGTCTGTGGAGATTGTTGCATACCTCTATGCCACTGAGCTTTTTGTTGGGATTTACTCTTTGGGTATATTCAGAGGAGAAGGGGACCTGGGATTTTCATCGCAAAAAAATTGAGATGGTTTTGAGAACAAAAGGAGTTGAATATTCAGACACAGCACAAATAACATTGCTATTCTTAATGAAAATATAGACATAAATATTTACTTTATTGGTTAAATTCCTCCACCTTCACTATCAGACTGGTGTGAATGAACAAAAAAACACAGTGGTAACCATTCATATTTCGGGGTCAAAAAAAGCCCAGGCTGTCCAGTGAATTCAATGAGACTGTATTGAAATCACAAAAAAGATTTAGGGTTTAAACAAAGCTCTATCAATTTTACCACATATCATCAGAAATCTGTATTAATACCTAAGGACAGCACATACCCATACAGCAGTTATGAGCATAAGGAAGAAATACAAGGAGACGACGTGGAGGAACAGGGACCAAGGCTAGAGCAAGTTATTTTGATGGTCCTTTAAAATATCAGAAATCACAAGGCTGTAACTCCAAAATAGTGTCTGAAATTCCAATATGACCAAAAAAAAAAAAAGGATTCCTGGAAGAGCTTTATTTAAACCATCATTGGAAATGTAATAGTTTGGGTTTGTGTCATTTTAAAGTAACATCAACATTCATGTTTGTTCTCAATGTCTGTTCAGGTCTGAATAGAATCATAGAATCGTTTAGG